ACCCGTCAAGGGTCCTGTAAATGGCATGGCAGCCACGTGGCCCGGCTCGCTGGTTTGTTCGTTAAACGTGTCACTGCTGGACATTTCCCCCCAGGGGGCGGCTGTATGTGTGTGTGTTGGCTTGCAAAATTGTTTTCGACTGGAGGTTTTTTCTCCATTGTTGAGCAAAACACTTGCCTGCCCTGGGACTGTCCCTTGATTGCACTTCGGGCGGCCATAACAATTAGGCGTAAATTAATGGAATTAACGCACTGCGCAAATTGTCACCACCACTCGGCTTGGGTCCGTCTGTGGTTGAGGCCACAGCAACCACAGTGGGCGGTTATGGAGCCCCAATTAAGTGCGTATGCGTGGGTCGCATGTGTGGGCCAAGAGCCTGGCAAGGGTATGGCCGATCGAAAAGGAATTCCAGCGGTAAACAGGCTCAACAACTCCCGTTCTCGGCTATCGTTAAGTTATCCCAAACTGTTAAATAACAACTTGGCAAACTGAAGCACTTGACATGGCCAGCCGAAGCCTCAAGTAAGCCTTGAACCATTCCTTCAGATTGTAACATTCCGATACATTGCTCGACCTGCCCTGGACTGCTCGAATGGAAAACTTTGCCCGGCCCGTACACATCGTTACTGGGTTACTGGGGAAAGTGTGCAAACAGTTTGCTCTTCGCTGAGTTTGCAGCTCTCTAAGCTGTCTTCACTTTTTTCTTGTTCATTGTTTGTTGGCCGCTTGCTCGAACATCTACTCCCAGGGAGAGGATGTCTCCATGTCTCTCTGTCTCCCTATCGTACAGTTGTGGTTGTTGTTGCTGCTCAGATCTCAGAAATACTTATATTTTTATTTCCGCTCCATTTGTCAATCAGCTTTATAGTTTAGCAAGCTGACTTATTTGTTGCTTTGCTGGTTGTTTCCCTGCGGTTGATGCAAACTTAAAGTTGGGCAAGAAAAACAAACGAAACAGACAAGAACCATGGCTTAAAGAAATTTACCTTTAAAGAAAACTCCGAGTTGCTTTAACTAAAATGGTTCACAGGGCAGGCCTACACATCTGTTGATATTTGTATTATCCCATCGAGGGATGCTAAAGTTCAGTTAACACAATCAAATCGATTACGGAACCGACTCCTGTGCTGTGGCCTCTGTGTCTGGGCGCTGTGTGCTCTATCGATTGTCACAAAGCAGTGGATATTTGCATGCCTTTGGCACCATCGGCTTCTGTATCGCCAGTCCGCTCCAGTCCTGTGCCTCTATCCGCCACCCTCGAATGCAAACAAAGATTCAAAGCCAAAAGCACTCAGACAGACTGGTCAGATAGGATAGGCAGACCAGGACCAAAACCAGAACCAGGACCAGGACCAGCACAGAGGCGAGCCCAGCAATCAGAACATGCCTCATTTGTGTTTGGCCATCTTTGCTCTACCATTCGGATGTGAACTTTGCACTTAAATGCCTGTAGCGACTACCAGGACCTGCTAGGACCAGCTAGGACCTGCTAGGACCTGCTAGGGCCGGCTAAGACCTGCTAAGGTAGTCAAGTTTACAGCGTTGGGGGCCTTCCCTGGTTGTTTGCCCTGTGTTTATGTGTGGCTGGCATAATGAAATCAGAAACTTTTGTAATTTATGCCATCTACCCAGTTTGTACTTCCATTTGCTAGCCCAATTATCGGCTGGCTTCCTGCCTTTGGGCCATGGGCCTCCAACTTTTTGCCACATTTATGCAAATCTGCGATGTATACATGTGGAGTCCATGGCAAAGTCAGCCAAATACCAAGGGCACGTTTAAATTGTTTTTCACTGGGTCCTTACCTGGGGCCCACTCTGGAAACTCAACTCAACTGTTATCGAAAAGTAAATTCAATTTGATTAATTAAATCTGAAGAGAGAATCTTGTCTCCAGTACTCCAGACAACTTGTTCAGGTTAAGAGCGAAACTGTATGCGTACCCGTACCCGTACCCGTACCCAGGCCAAAAACATTCAGCGGCAAGTGGTAACAATCGACGATATCTGGCAGATATATTTCCCAAGGCACTCCTAATGTCTGCCTCTGTCTGCCAGTTTTATGGGCATTCGTGGGGGGAAGGTGATCCGGAACTTTAGCTCCCAGTTAATGCGTTTTATCAATTGATTTCCATCAAATAAAACACTTTCTTGTAGCGGAAAGTGAAGCAAATAAATTGGATTTCTTGCGGAATCGTTGAGGGAGGCCTTGGGGGAAGCACTGGGGCAAAGTTGGTTAGTTAGCATCACTCTGCCCGGCCCGGCCCAGCCCAGCCTAGCCCAGCTCGGGCATAAATTAGTTTCTTGAGTCATTCCGTGTAGTCTGTTTTATGTGGAGGCATTCGAAAAGAATTTTCTGTCCCGCTCCCTTGATTCTTATCGTCCAAGCTCCGTTCCAGTTATGTTCCTGGCTTTTTCTTTCTCTATTTACTGGCCTTAATTCAGTTAGCGAAAGTGCCTCAGGCATTTTAGCTTTTAATTTGGCCTTTGTTACGCGCAGCTTAGCAATTTCTTTATGCTGCAACTCTTTTATCGCACTCACCTCTGCCAGAGCTCTGGGGCTGCGACTTTGTTGCGCCATTGCTCCGCCTCTAGGAAGGTACTTCCGCTTAATTAAAACGATGCCCGTGTAGGGGGAAGAAAATGCCCCACCCGAAACAGAGATACTCGCACTTTAAGTTGCCGAATAAATTAAACTTCATTTATTTGTAGCACACAAAACTTGTTTAACGAGAGAATCGTATATTGGTATACATATATAGTCTGTATGTGTGTATGTATATTATTTTGGTATGCAAGGATTCGTTTATTGCACTAAACATGATAGATATTTATCGGAGTAAGCTCTTCGAGCTGAGAGTACAACATTAACACTTGACTATTTATGTTCTTTATCTTTATCTTTATTTTGTTTTTGTCTGAGTACATCTTAGGGGTACGTCTTTAGCACGGTAATGTTTTATTTGCCTGCAGCAACAATTTGGTTTTGTTGGTTTCTTGGCTAACGAGTATTATAAATACGGAAATTTAAAGGTTCAACTCTCAAATGACAGCGATATCCTAGCTAAACTATGTACACAACATATCGCCGCTTTGGCTGTCTTAGGCTAACGTATAGTCAATAAGGGATTCACAGGAAGTCCGATGTCTATGTACAATGGTGGGTATCAGTATACTGAGTATGTGCAGGCTGCAGCAGCTCCCCCGATGCCCAACCTAATCCTGATCCGGACGCAAATCTCTCTCCAATGATGTCAAAGGAAGGCTGTGGGTCAAAGGTTGTGTTTCATGGAGCATACCTAGTGGGAGGAGTTCGAGGTGAAAATAAAAACTAACACGTATGTATATGCTATGCTATGCTATCCGTTGCTCTGCTGTCTCTGGCTTAGACCCTCGCATCGCTGTACTCGATGCGAACCATGCGCCTTGGTCGCTGCCCTGGCCTCGAAACCGCACCAGATCCCAGGCCACGCAGCGCCAGCAGCTCTCGTGGCTACAACTGGGTCCGCTTCGGCCCGCTGCCTCCGGAGGTTGAGGCGTCCCCAGAGGGCTCCACGTAGGAGTAGCAGGCAGTCTCCATGACCAGCGGATGGCAAATCTCGTAGACGGGCACCTTGAGGCTCGTCTTCCGTAACCCACCCAAGCTGCTTTGCGAGCTTGAGCTGGGCCCAAACGAACGTCACCTGGGGTCGTTGCTCATCTCGGAGTGGTGCAGCTCGCTCTCATCGCCGAAGCTGTGGGCCGCCGCGCTGGGCGTGATGCTGGGTGTGCGTGCCCGGATGCGGATGGCGGACATGTCGGAGCCGCGACGGGAGCTCTTCAGCGATACACTCTGGCGCGAGCAGAAGCAGCGACAGATGATGCGCTTGAAGGCGAAGCGGAAGTCCTTGGAGAACAGGGCGTAGATCATGGGATTCACCGCCGAATTGCAGTAGCCCAGCCAGAAGAGCACCGAGAAGAGCAGCGGGTCGACGCAGTCCTGGCAGAAGGGCCGAATGATGTACATCGTAAAGAACGGGCACCAGCAGAAGATGAACATGCCCACGATGATGGCCAGCGTCTTGGCCGCCTTGGTCTCCATGCGGAAGCGCTTCACCTGAGCCTTGATGTTCCGCCGACCCATTTTCTTGTTGGCCGGGCGGCAGTGTCCCGATCCGCCACCTCCTTCGCTGGTGTTGCTCTGACGCCTGCCCAGCTCTGGCAGGGCTTTGCCCACCTGCAGGTAGCAGGAGCTGCCACCTCCATGCTGCTGCCTGTACAGCTGCGACTCCGTGGAGTCGCGTCCATTGGATCCGTTGTAGTGCACGGCGAAGAGGGCGTTGCCGGAGGGTCGCCTGTCCCGGCCGGAGTCTCCGTGGGTCAGTTCGTGGATGTTCTCGGTGGATGGATACGACACGGAGATCTTTATTTTGTCGTGGTGGTGGTGGAGGCGCCGCGTGGCGTACTTGGACAGCCGCTCTGGCGAGGGGGTGCCCAGCGTAGTGGTGGTGCTCTGTGTGCTCCCGTTGCTGTGCATGGAGTCGTGCTGGTTGGAGCCCCTTCCCCGATGTATGCGAAGCGTCAGGCGCTGCTCCTCGAAGCGTGATCCGATGCCCTTGGAGCCTGTTTGGGGAAACGGGAATAGATAAGGAGACATATATGTCAGTATGCATGAATTTAACATAAGGGGTGTTGTATTTCTTGTTTCCGCCTCACATATTGAATATCGCTCATACGCCCCCCATACGAGTCACGTCCTGCGTCGAGGGCGTCGAGTGTCAGGCGTCAGGCCTGGCGCTCTGCCAAAGGGGCAGCAGGCAGCCATCCAGCCATCCGGCCTGCACTTTAGCAAATTAAACGCGTAATTATGCAAATGTTTTCCCATAAACGCGACAAGCACTCAACTCAATCCCCTGCCCGATCCTGGCTACGCGTGTAGTTGTAGTCGCCTTTAAGCTGCTTTCAAAGCGAACTTTATTTCATTAACACACACACACAAACACAAACACACACACACACACACATTTGCATAATCACCGCTCTCTCACTTTTCCCCCCCTAGTGAACCCTAGTACCCTGGCCATATGGCTCAGCCATCGCTTGCTCTGCATTTATTACTCATACGCACGTTTAACTGCTGAATACATTTTCATTACGAGTACTCGACCCACGACAAGTAATGAATAATCTTGGGATGCTCTTGCTCCTGCTGCTTCTGAGGTTGCTCCTGCCTTGGCTCTTAAAGAATTAAAAGCTGATTTATTGTCAAGCGATAGCTTTAAACCCACTTCTTGCCCTTGGCCCATCTGCCAGCTTATGCCGCGAAGTACTCTTTCAGCAATTTAATAACGGTCTCTTGAACGTCTGCTGATGCTGGCCAGTGCAAAAGACGGAGCATCATTGATGTCGAAGAGCACCAGACCATATGGGTCAAAGGGAACCAGCCCACTCATGTGTGCTGCAGACGAAAGCGTTGAATGAAATTTCTATACACTGCCCAAGAAAAAGGCCAGTAGAATGAAGAATCAAACTTGAACGGATATTCGAGTACGCTTAAAAATATAATTAATTTTTGTGTGTCGCCCAATCGATGCCGACAGGAGAATTACAGCAAATTCCCATACAGATGGCAGCTTGATTGTTGGATTGTCGGATTGTTGAGAGGGCATATCATCGTTGGTGTGGTGTATGGAGACTTCATTTATTTTTTGATGATTCGGAATGTCTCTGGTCGTGGGCCTGAGGCCACTTCCCTCACAGACAAGCTGTCGCTACCTTTGATTGACCCGGTATTTGGTATTTGCCAATTTCTGGTCATTTCGTTGTCGGCACTTGTTTTTTTGTTTTTGTTTTTTGGCTTTTTTATTCTTTATTTGTATTTATTTCGATTTGTTTTCTCTGCTCTCGTTTTTATTGAAACTGCAGTTGACTTACACAGCTGCTGTACACACACAAACATACACATTTATCCACATACATATATACGAGTATATCTGTATATCTTTTATGTAGCTAATTTGATGAGATTTTTGTCCTTGCGCCTAACAAATGTACACAACAGAACTGAAAACAATAATGGGCTGCTTACGGCTAGTCGGCTTGTATCTTGTATCTTGTGTATCGTGAATTGTATCTTGTGCCTCATACGAGTTGTTATACGAGTAGTTATGTAGGTTTGTATCTGTACGAGTAACTATATATGTATAGTAAGTAGTTTAACATAGCCTTAGATCTAGGTAAATACATGAAAATTATTGCCATACAGTTACAACGTCGTTCAATGCGAATACTGACAATTTGTATAGTGGGATGCTGGCGGGGATCGGGACATACATACATATGTATATCTATGTGTATATCCGATTGGGATTACTGCTACTGGCGACGTTCACAAGAGTCGAAAAGTATCAAAAGTCGAAATGCATTGCCCCCTTCAGAGAACGCGTCCCTTGCAGAAGCCGCCGCGCCGTACTCGGCGCGTGCTGCCAGACCCCTCGTCCCCCAGCACCGCATCGCTGGAGTCCTGGGGCAGCGAGGATGTGCGCTGAAGCGGACCCGGACCCGGACTCGGACTCGTCTCGTAGCTGCCGATTAGTCAGCTAAAGTCCACGGCATCGCCGTCGTCCGAGCAGCCGGAAATGGTTTTGTGGAATGTGGCAGGAGCCATCAGAGCTCGGGCGGCGATCATCTGGAAGTTCTCCGAGGCCCTGAAGCCACTCCTCGTGCACACGCAGCGGCAGACGATGCGCTTGAAGGCGATGCGAAACTCGTGGGAGAAGAGCGCATAGATCACGGGATTGATTGCCGAATTGCAGTAGCCCAGCCAGAAGAGCACCGAGAAGACCGTCGGCTGGATGCAGCTCTCGCAGAAGGCTCGTATCAGATACATCGTGAAGAAGGGCAGCCAGCAGACGATGAAGCCGCCCACGATGATGGCCAGCGTCTTGGCTGCCTTCGTTTCCATGCGGAAGCGCTTCACCTGGAACTTTGCGCTGCGCTTGCCCGCCCGCTTCTTGGCTGCCGTCGAAGCAGCTGCGTGACCGCTCTCCAAATCCGTGGCCGTCTGGGCCGTGGTGTCCAGATTGAAGGTCGTTTCCCCAATGTCGAAGAGGCTGGTCTTGAAGGAGGCCCGTCGCCCGTTGGAGCTGCTGATGACCGCAAAGTGTGGGGTGGGGGAGTGTGGAGGCTGCTGGCCTGACGTTCTCTGTGATTCCAGGACGTTCTCGGACGAGGGGAAGGACACCTTGATGGCCACCTTCTCGGGTCGCTGGCGACTGACACGCATCGAGGTGGCTCGCTTGGGCGTGCCCATCTGCGAGGCGGACTGATGGTGATCCTCGCCAGCTCCTCCGCCGCCTCCGTTGCTGTTCACGCTCAGGGTCGAGGACATCGAGTGCACGGAGAGCGGGGTGCGCTGTGGTGTGCTGCAGGGACGTCCCCGGTGTATCCGCAGTATCAGCTGTGACTCGTCGACGCGATTGTTACCCGACTCACGGGGACTGCCTGCAATTAGTGAGTGGAGGGAGTTTTTCGGGAGTCGAAACGAATAATGTCTTTCGCGATGACCACACGTGAAGGAGTAGTATTATAGTTTGGTAGTTTGGTGTTTCGGGTGTATCCCGGGGGTGTAAAATTAACACGGAGTAAAACATTCAGTTTGTATGGTACATGGACATGTGGTAGTACGAGTGTAATATAAGTTGAATGAACGAACTGAACTGTTGCTTTTGTTTGCTGTTTTGTGGTTGTAGTTGTGGTGGTGGTGGTGGTGGTGTGTTGTGGTTGTGAACTGAGTTAGATACATTCGCATAAATATTTAGAGATGCAAGAAACATTTCTTCTTGAATAAACGGTTGAATGGTTAAAATTGTTGGAGACTGACACTTCACAGAGAGCGGATAACTAACTACAAACTGTTACATTAAAATAGAGATACATATGTACGGTGGAGTAACTTAATTGAGTAGTAAGTATATGTATATATATGTATGTAATAAGGTTTGTTCTACGTTCATCAATACAGATATATTTATAGAGAAAAGGAGGGTCTCATTCCATTATAAAAATCTAGTAATATGTAGCAAAAATGTAGTACAAATATTGCAATTCATTAAATGTATTTTGGTTCTCTTTTGTTTTCAAATACGAGTATCCACAGTAATTAATTGCTATAAAAAACTTTGTTAATTTGTTTGGGTTTATTTATATGTGGTTCGGTTTCCTTTTGGGGAGTTTTTTGTTCTTTGGTACGTGTTGGCATTGAGGGGGTACATAGTACATATTTGTTGAGCCCGAGGGAAGGGTTTGTTGGGTCTAATTTTATTTATTAGTCGGGGGTCATCGAGCAGGAAGGGTCATTAAAAAGGGCTCTACAAATTATACAGGGATACGAAATGAGTCCGACTGAAACGACATGGATAATGAATGCACCCTTGGTGGCACAGAGAAGCATCAGATATAATTTAGTATTAAATTTACCCGAATACAATTACGAGAGGCTTTTCATTTATTGATAATTCCGGACTGATTGCCAGCTTTAGTTCCAGGAGTATTCTTTGTTTAAACAACAGAGTGCCTCGCTCAGTATTATCTTAATTTAATGCGGGACGTGCAACATTTCAATTTGCATAAACTCCATTAAACTTATTGAAACAAAATTGTGTGTTGCCCATGAATATAAGCAAACGAAGCAAACGAGTGGCTGAAGCTGAGGCCGAGGATAGCAAACAAGAAGTCCAGCATATGTGTGGAGACTGTACATAAAAAAGTATACACTATTGATTCCTTTCATGTATTCATACATAAATACATACGAGTATGCATGTATGTATGTATATGCCCTCAAAAAATGAAAGTTAAACAAACAATTTGTATACACATAAGGAAAATATAAAAAAAAAAAAAAACCGCTCTATCCTAATGTATGTAAATACAGCCAGATATGAAAGCGCAATCCGAGCAAACGGTCTCTAGTCCTCTGTTGGCCCGGACTGTGTCCATGGATATGCCTGTGGATGTGCCACATCCTGGGGCGTTGTTGATTTAAATAAATGTATATTACTTTTGTTTTCTGCTTATGTAGGTTTATCCCTGCACCTACACACAGGACGAGTACGAGCATGAGTACGAGTAAGGTGCAGATACTCGTATGCCTGGGCGTACTCCCACATGGTCGTACCTGTGAGTCTCAATTTCCCTTTGATTGAAATGCTTTGTCTATGTGCCTGCCTTCAGGCATTAATTTGACATTTGTAATTCAGTCAACACATTCATGTGGGCGTACACTACGATTATCTGTCATTTAGCTAAAGGTCATTTAATAAATAGTTTCATATTTTTAATGAGCGGCAGAGAGTAATTAGCGTGAACAATTATTCCGCGAAACCTCTTGTGGACCTGCACGAGTGTGGGTCTGATTGTCATATGCTTTTGACCTTTGAACGATGGCTCGCCGCGGCTGCAAGTCAAGGCGAGCTGCAGCTACTGCCACTGCCACTGCCACGGGCAGCTCTCACGAAAGTTCCTCTTGTTCCGTTCTGCTCTTGACACAGGGCCAGGGCCACACTTCTAAAATTTCTAAACCCTAACAATAACAGAACCCAATCGACCCACCGACCGAGCCAGGCTCTGGCTCTGGCTCTGGCTCTGGCATCGGGCACATTGTAGTGGTCGACAGTCGACAGTCGACACCATGAACCTCGGCAAGTTTTTGAACTTGAAACTTGATTACCTTCAAAAGCCACTAAAAAGGCGTGTGGGATGGATGGGCGTTGGGCAATGGTGAGAGGTGGGGAATCCTTCTTTGCTGGTGAGCAAAAAGCATCAGCAACACCCGCATTGTGTCACGGAAGGTTTTTTGACTCTTTCCGTTGCGTTCTGCCGGGAACGTTGCGGCAAGACACGCACGGACAAGTGGCCCCTGCACAGAGAACTATAGCACTGTGTGTGTGTGTGTCGATGTGTTGGCTTACAGCAGTATGTGTACGACTGAGTGTAGACAAAGCATATTTCAATTCTGCCACACGCTGATTTTTTGACTGTGTCAGTAAGTGGGTGTGAGGGTGTGAGAGCGTGAGTACGAACATGCTCTTGTTGCTGGCAAATCTGAGCTCTGTGCTCAAAAATGGCGCCAACTAACGACGCGACAGTTGCAAAACAAAAACAGCTCAGTCCCACAAGGCACTAGCAGGCATGCTGGCATCAGCAGTACTCGTAGAAGCTCAAGAAGCTGGCCCCGAAATGCATTTGTGTACCCTTGAAGAGGGTATTTCTATTTTGCACAGAGTCTCCCTTAATAATTTGTCGCAAACGGTCAGAACGATTGGTCAAAAATGTATCAGACGTATAGTTTCAGAAATATCAAAATCGGGCCTCTTATCATGCTATATGTAGCTAGCTCCCAATCCTTTATGGATGCTTACGGCCCAACTAAATGACACGTCCAGTGCCTTGTCGTCTAACATCAAGTTCGTGTATATAAAAGTCGGCGTGCCTTACTAGCTGCTCTTATTTTTGTCGTTAGAAAGAGGATCAACTTGGGTTCAATATGGCGTCAGGTCAGTCTCTGCCTCAAAATAAGCCATCACATTTTAAGTGCTGTCTCAACTCAAGAAATCCCCAGGGACTTGAAGGGCAACAAACGACAAAAAGACAGAAGGGAGATTCCCCTTGAAAATCTATACTAAAATAGCACTAACAGCTTTTATTTTAGTTTCAGCACATAGGGCTGTAGTAGCAGTAGGAAGAAAATTACTAATAATTATAATTAATGAAGTAAGGCATATTAATGCTGAAAATGTGTGAAATTGTTGGTTGAACTATGTTTATGCCCATGACTTATTCATGAATCATTTGAATCGGGCATGCAGCTAATTCCGGAAGTTTGGGATGGTTACAGGAACACAGGCGTCTGGGAGAGCCAATCAATTAGCAGGAACATTGACTTCCAAGAGAAACGTGCACGAAGGTCGGCTATTGATTTTCGTTATGAAGTCAGCGGGTCAGTCCCCCGTTCGTTAGGTGGGTTGGCTAGTTAGCCTGGCCCGGCTGTTTCGGGAACTGCAGATTATCGCCAAATGCGTGCGCTTGGCTTGCCAGCGCTTTGTGGAGGGACTAAAGGGAAATAAACTAGAGTTGTGCCCAATGAGCTGATCAGGCGGAAGAAAGTGCGCTGCGTCCCGCGTCCCCGGCCCCAGCCCCGACCCAGGCCCAGTAATGTGCAAGAAATGCGCCATATACTCGTATTAAAATAAACATTTAATGACAGTTTATTGGGTGCCCCACAACAGCAGCAGCTTCAACTTCAAACGGAATATGTTTGGCAGGATTATCGCCAGCAAACAGTTCGATGGGATGTCAGAAGAACAACGAGGCCTAAAATGACAAAACCCCAAGAAAACAGCAATTTGCAAAGACAGCAACAGGGGCTCTTGTCTTCCATTTCGAGCTTCTTTCATGTCTACCATTTACGTACATATGTACAAATGTATGTACATACGTATTCGTATTCCAGGAAGCCCTGGCCCTGCTCTAATGGCTGAATTTTTTTTTCATTTAATCCAGGCTGCCTTTTTACGAGCATCTAAGCCGATTTGTTTGATGTGTTGGGTTCTCTCAGCACCCATTGGGGGTTTTTTTTTTGTATGGTTTTTGCTCATCACTGGAAATAATGCTAATTATAATGCGTGACTTCTCCCTTGAGCATATGATTGATATACGTAGTGCTAGGATTACTTTAAAGTGGTTTGGGATAACGAAATGGGAAACTTTAATGATTTGATGACTTCATGTGGGGCTCTGTGGAGTAACGAGAGGGATGTTGAGAGGTTCTTAGGAGATTATTCACAGATTTAAGTTGAGATTCGTGGTTACTTACATGGGTAGACTAAACTAATATTATTTTATGAGGCACTTAGCATTAGCCCAATGTTAATTTTCGATGACATTCACTTGATGTCAGGGGGATTTCAGTTACAGGGTTTTACAGTTAATCCAATTTATACAGAATTAAAATTGTTGCTGGGGTTTTATGGGGGATTTTATTCGCTTGTCGCTCGCTTACATATATTTAAATCAGATATTGCCAATCGGCTCTAGGGGTTGATTTTTTGTGTGTGTGTTTTCTGTTGGCTTGCTTCGGGGTCTATGCTTTGACTATGTCTATATGCATATGTATGTGTATTTATTTATATATTTACTCATTTCCATGTTATTTATCATGTTTATTTATGTTGTGAGCACAAAAACAAAATGCCGACAATAAATGCACGTGTGTATGTACGAGTGGTGTATCTGTATGTGAACGTGTCTGTGGGACTGTGGGCGCTGTGTATGAGTAGTTATTTATACGTTTATATGTGTATGTAAATTTAGTTGTACACTTTTTGCTTTTGTCAATTTATACAGTTCCTCATAAAAGTATTCGTTAAACGGGGCGAGAACATACACACACACACATACACTACACGTACACGTAGAATTGTTATTTGCTTGGCTGAAAATTTATGGGTTTCGGAGGGAGTACCTACAGATACATCCGTACTGAATCTGGCAGGGACGACGGCACTGAGGTGTCTGTGAATGTGTCTGTGAGAATGTCTGTAGTGTTCAGTGTGAATGTGTACACTTTACTTTTTGTTTGTCTGTTTTTTTGGTAACCAACATAAAATGGGACAAACGGGACGTCACACTATTGTCTACACGTTGAGAGATTTGAAACTGTTTAGCAATCGATATTAAGCTGAATAAAATGAACTATCTACGTGATTACGTTACTTACGAGTATCGAACATACGAGTACGAGTACGGGTACGGGTACGAGTACGAGTAATGGGTTGAAATGAGTGGCTAAGCTACGCACAAGTTAGGACAAATCGTGGGTGACAATTGAAAGATTCAAACAAACTGTGTCCAAATGAGAGCTGGTGGAGTCTGTTAGCTACGGGTGACTGCTTTCGGATCGCATTCGGATCCGGATTCGGATTCGGATTCAACTTACCCTTGGTGGTCTTGAAGCCCTGGTTGATGGCCCGCGTGGTGCGCACCGCGGCCCGGTAGATGCGCCAGTAGAAGAAGAGCATCACGAACATGGGTATGTAGAACGATCCGAGGGCTGAGTACAGTACGTAGCCGCGATCGTTGGTCAGCTCACACTTCCAGGGGCAGCTGCCCGGCGTTGTCTGGACTCTGTTCTGCGGCGGCGCGCTCGTCAGATCCTGTTCCATTTCGGTGGAGGATAGACTGGGGGATGATGTGGTACTTGTGGTGGTGCTGCTGCTCGTGGTCATGGCGGCAATCCGTATCTCGGCGGAGCCATCGATGGGCGCAAAGTCGGGATCGTAGGGATTGTAGGCGTTGCCATTGCTAATGTGGGCGGAGCTCTCCAGCTCGCCCTGTTCCTTAATGCTATCTAACTCTAGTTGCCCCTCCTCTGTGCTTGACATCGTGGTGGCATAGAAAAGCGTATAGTTTCCCCGCGAATAGGTCGGCTGTTCAACGGCCTGGAACGAGAAAGGGCACACCCAGTTATGACACTTGATATTTGGAGGGTTTCAGAGAGTAGTCCATTAAAATTCTGTGCTCGCGCTGGCACCCTGTTCACTCTGTCCTGTAGCACACTGTGCTAAGAAGCCAATAAAAATGCAACTTAAAGCGGGGCGGACTATACATACTCGTATTGCGAAATATACTCGGGGACGTGTTGTGCATAAATATTACACGAAAGGTAGCATACATCTCGGCGTTGTAACAAAGCCAAGCTCCCTGGCCGAACCGAGCCGAACCGAACCGAACTGAACTGAACTGAATGCCGCTGGCAATATGGGGGGAATATGTGAAAACATGTTGCCCCATGTTGTGCCCATCCTTCTTGCCGCCTGCTGCAGCTGAATCGAAATTGAATTGAGCATATGGAGAGGGGAGAACGAGTACCGTAGTATATGGCAGTATAATAATAATCGATGGCTCCAAAAGGTCCATGCAGGAAGCAAACAGAACGCCATTCATTCAAACGGGGCGCATTCAACTGCATTCAATTGCATTCAGCTGCGGCAGCCATGAATTGAGTCGACTGTGCGCTCGAATTCTTTTCCTATCCCTCGGAGGATACATTTTCATGTGTGTGCAGCTATGCGGTTAAAGCATCCATCCCATCCACCATTACCAAGGTCCAATGGGATGAAGTGAAGCCACCGGCCGTAGCCAGGGAGCACAGCACGAGCACGAGCACCTCAAGATTAATATGTCTGGCCAGACCGTATATCATGCATCAGTTTCCAGCTGAATGTCTTCGTTAGGCATTAGCCTAAAACAATGTAGGCCCAAAATAAACTGAACCAAAAGGCAGGGCCATAAACTGGAGCCGGACCAAGAGCTGGCTATCTTCGCTGATCTGATTACCCACTGACAGGGTGCTCATAAATTGTGCTCCGTCTCCGACTGCCCCCACTGCCGTACTGTTTCCTCTGTTTGGGACATGTACATGCCTACATATGTATAACAAACACATCATTATCATTGCCGTTGCGTAAGAGAGAGTGTGGCATGCATGGGTGCCAAAAACGTTGCAAAAATGGAGACGGGAATGTAGTCAGAAATTAGAAGACGGCCCATCCAATGGCAGGCCAACAAAAGGGACAAACTCGTGTCTTGTTTTACGGTAATTTTGGCACAAATGAGCCAGATTGCAGTCTTTAGCACGAGGTTGTCGTTGCCGTTGTCGTTGCGGTTTGGCAACAACTTCCACCCGTAATGGTGTCAATGACAGTCCGCCCCCATGTAGGCCAGACAGTTTGGGGCCCCGAAAAACTTCTAGCAGCGGGCTTCGCTTTGTTCTTTATGAGGATTGGGCGTGCTGAAAACAGTTTACGGACTTTCAATTTTGTTTTCCTTTCTCCCTCTCACTTTTTGGCAGAGACAAACCGCGTTTCACTCGTTAATTTATCGGATTGGGTCAGCTGTGGGTCAGTTGTGGGTGGCTTGGGCCTTGGGTGGACTTGTGTGGGCTTGTGTAGCAGTCGGCAGTCTAAAGTCGACACTCACCTTTTGATCCTTCCAGCCAACAAGGGGCGGAAAGCAAATAACAAATGAGAGTACCCAAATGCCGGCGATTAAGGACTTGGCCTTCTTCGTTGACATGATGCTTGGGTAGGTGACGGGTCGCGTGACCGCCACATACCGATCCAGGGATATGGCACACAGATTCAGAATCGAGGCGGTGCACATCCAGACATCTACGGCCAGCCAAATGCGACACCACACATCGCCGAATATCCAGACCTGTGCGCCGAAGGAAACCATTAAAAAAGGGTGCAAAAATATAGGTTTATTTATTACAGGCTAAAGGTTTATGGTATATTCACCTTGAACACCTCCCAGGTGGCGGAAAAGGGCAGCACCGCTAGACCCACCAGTAGATCGGCCACAGCCAAATTAACGATGAAGAAGTTGGTGACACTGCGCAACTTGTTCGAACAGAAGACGGCGGCAATCACAAGGCAGTTGCCACCAATGACCAGAACGTTGATGAACTCGAGTATGGCCAGGGAGATCAGATTGGCTGGTTCCGTCCATTTCACAGATTTGATGAGATCCTCGCACTCTGTCTCATTCATGGCGGTACTATTGAGATGGGTGTATATCCGTGTTCACCACCTGCAATCCACCGACCAGAAAGGTTACCAACGGAAAGATACCAACTCGACTGACGGCTACCTGCCACAACCTGTCAGGGGCAGCCGGCCCTCGCGTGCCTAATTAATTTATTAAGGAACTCCGGTCTATAAATACCACAAAAAAAAAGAAAGAATGTTGCCAGTGTTTACCCCAAGGAAAAACAAAATGTGCGTGGGCTCTAAATTAGCTGCTACAACCCGAACTCTGCCCCTATTCTCAGAACTCGTAATCGTAGCTGGGGTGGAGAGTTGCACCGCAGAGCCCGAAGATACAAATCGGTTGACAATCATTGGGATCCTCACATAGAAACCTGTACAGAATTCAAAACTAAGCAATTACCTACTTTGCAACATATTGCAGTAGTTGTACTTCTAATTAGCAGAAAGGCACTCGGTTCCAGTGGCTCGCTGTTCTGTTATTTTCAACTTTTGTGAGCGCCGGCAGGCAAATAAACTTTTCCACAGAAGGGAAAATCGGAAAATCTCCATCAACCAAAATGAAAAAAAATTAAATGTAAAATTACAGACGAAAGAGAATACGGAGTGGGAGCAGAGGAGAGGGAGAGGGAGAAGAGGAGCAGGAACAGAATGCCTGCTGGCATATTTGCTTAATTGTTTTGTAAGACGGCATAAGCCATCTCTGGATGTTATCCAGAGCTGACCTGTGCAAATAATTGAAAATTAAATGTGGCCGGAAACACGAGTAGAGCTGACCAGGGCTGAACTCCCCTCGGGCCGAGAGCTTTTCCATTCCCTGCCCACTTGGTATTCAGCCGGCAGACGCGCATTGCAATTTAATTGCCATAATTAATTGCGGTCGTTCACTGTACTGGGTATATTGAATGTGTTCACGTCGAGTCAATTTATGAATGAATTGGCATGCGAATCGGCATCATCGTCGGCTGCATTTCAATTGCTATGCCACACAATGCACGACTCTCTACTGAGAGTGAGAGTGAGAGTAAGAGCGAGTGAGGGAGGCCGGCCATCAAGCCATCGAACATACGAACATATTACTCGATAAACTACAAATCCAGCTAAACAAGCAATCAACTGCCATAAAGCCAACTCGCTGCGCCATTCCCTTCCTTGGGTGCGCACAATTTGGCTACTAATCAATATTTGAAATTATTTTTGACTTTAATGGCTCTACCGACTGCCTGGCACGCACACAGCCAACCCAGGCCATCCCCTGTCGCGATTTTTGGGGAATAATTGTCGGGTATGCGATATTCAGAACACGCAACAAATCGATTAAAGTATACGTTTCTTTAAGCCCGATCTAACTACAATATATGGCGGTTGATTGTGCGAACCTTTTGGCACGTTCCCCCAATGGAACTGGATGGTGCTGTGGCTGTGCTAATGAACACCTGTTCTGGCAAGGTAATCTTGTTGTGTAAAGATCTATGTAAAAGGTTGCTACTCGGGGCGGGGGAGTTGAAGAGTTGCAGAGCGGAAGTGAGCCTCTGGCGACCACAACAAAGGGGACAACCATGGGAACGAACCCAACTAAAAAGCCAAAGTCAAAGACAGCAAACAGTATGTATAGGAGAGTCGTATCGATTTATAAATTACTCAGAGACCTGGAAAAGGCATTGATTACAGTTTAAGTTCAAGGCAACATCCATATGAGTAATTTAATCCTCTAAGAGCCCAGACCTTGGCGAAGGACGGGCCTGTCCTGCTGTTGCTTTTCCTCTGAAATTCAGAGAAATTTCACAGTGTGGGCTGAACGGAATATTCCCAACACTTGGAAGGGCCAGGCCCGGAGCTGTGGCTGGTAGCTGGTTGCTGGTAACTGGTAGCCAATCAGGGACAGGGAATGCGTGTACTGAACTCGCATAAATTACTCACATGACAAACAATATACATGGGTCGAGCCGAGTGGCAGGGCCGAGCAGAGCCAAAATGCTGTTCCACGGCTACAAAGTTTAAAAGGCATTCACGCTTCAAGCTCCTTGCCGGAGAAAGGCACTCTTACTCGCCCCTAGTCCACGGCATTCTGTTCTCATACGAAATTTGCATGCCAAAATTCGCTTTGTGGCAGCTAATAATGGGAAATGCCCAAATTGAGTTGCAGGCTGAATTTTGCCAGCATTAAGTTGCCGAGTGTAATAAATAATTGACATTTAAAGCGAGTTGTAAAAGCTTTTTACCCACTACCCACACGTCGGTTGCGCGCCTCTCTTCACTTGAGTATACTCTTTAAAAGCGTGCACGAGTATCTAGTGTACCTGCAGTGAATGAAGAGTTCTGAAGAGTTCAATAATGTAAATTTCATATTTGGAGAAGAGAGCACAGAATCAGCTGTTTTATATTACCTTCACACACACACAACAACAAAATACGTGTAATTGGATCGGTAAAACCAGTTGATTTGGGAATCCTGGTAAGGGTATTGCCGTGCCAACCAGCCCAGCCGGTGGCAAGCCTTCGTCTCTTGTTCCGTTACGCATACGCCTAGTTGACGATGACATAAAAAAGCCGCGCATTTAATGTATGCGAGGCGAGAGGTGGTGCAGCTTTGAAGCAAATTAAATTTAATTACCTCAGCATTAAAAAGTTAACAGAGTTCTTTAGATGGAAATTAATTGTCAAATGGCGTTAAAAAAAATAATGAATAACATTTTCAGTAATCATATTTATGGCGGCATAAATTTCAAATGACTTTAAAGGACTCCTCTCCTTGAATTATGCTTTATGTCGTTATGTCAATGTTCAGATTTAAGTAAAATGTGATGTTCTCAAGCATAAAACACTCCGACCAGCCCTTTCGTTGCACTCAATCGAAACTCTCCAATTGAGGTTTCCGTGTGTCAGAGTTTTGGGAGCGTTTGTTTTAGTCCCAATTGATTGGGAAATTTCTACTTTTTTTGACACACAACCGACCAGGAGAGGAAAGAAAAGCTGGGTGGATGGTATTGACACAACTAATGGACACTTAACACGTAAAGTCGACAGAGAGAGAGACCCGCCAGGCACTCAACGAAGACAGGCCACGAAGAATAATTAAGGTTTTCCATTAGAGTGAGGCGTGAATGCACCAGTGATGCCCCATTGACCCACAAATTTACCTTCTTTTATGTCCTAATTGCAATGTCAGCAAAATCGCCCATATTTATTTAGTACAGAGCACTGTGAAAGCGCAGTGCATAAAAATTAAGCACGAAATTCCATTGTTGCAGAAAAATATATTTGAGATGCAGCATGCATTCGCCAAGAACAGAGGTAAAATTGTATAATTTCATTTAATTTTCTGCTCCAAGGAGGAGCGCCTGAATTTGATTTGTTGCACACGAGTAGAGCGGAAATGGGAATGGAGAGAGAAAAGAAATGCGCCGAAGGAATTGCTGAAAATTTGATTTCATGGGATATTACACAAGGGAGAGAAAAAAGGAAAAAAGCAAGACCAAAGGATTGTCAAGTGCCAGTTACATTGCAAACATTGTATTAAGCTACCGTATAATGCCAGAATCAGGTTTTAAGTGAGAGTTAATAATCCGATAAAGAGTCGTACATTTTTCCTGGAGCAATATTAGAGAGTATATGAAGAAATAAAATTCAAATATTTCTAATCCTTTAAACACACACAAAATGATTTCCACATTTTGAGTTATTAAATTAAATCTGGCTTCTGAACCAGGGAAAATGCATTTTAATGATTTATCCTAATTGAATCTGCTTGTGGCAAAGGGTAGTCAAAAAAGAATTCAATAACTGCATAAATGGAAACATTTCCGTTCCGTTACGTTCCGACCAACTATGCCACAACATTTGTGGCTAAAATCCAGTTTCCAGCAATTAGCCAGGCCCGTAGTTTCGGCGCCGAATGAGTTGGAAGAGAATTAAAACGCCAAATACGCAACATTTTCCGGCGGCGGCCGCAGAAGGGGAAGTGGACCATTATACACAGACCCCACGCAGATAAAACAATTTTGCGGCTTGCTGATTTCTGCCAACTGCAATTCGCCTGTCGACAGTTGCCGCAAAAACTTTTAATTTCATTCTGATAATTGGGAGCGAATGGTGCCCAAAATTGTTGTAGAGAACGCCCAGAGAAATCCCCAATTACGTTTACAAATGCGAAAAGTGGTTGGGCCGCAGTTGAACTTTAACGTTTAAAACTATCGTCGTCTGGCATAAGGAGTTTGTTGTCCTCTGCAAATCACTTAAGCCTTCCTTTCTGCTGTCAAATCCCATCTACGAGCACAATTAAGAGTTCGTATTAGGTTGCGTTGCTGAAAACCGAATGCAAATGACAGCCTAAAGCCTCTCGATGAGTTTTGCAGGCCTTGTCTATAGATTTGGAATTCAAGAATTGTTGAAGTGATATCTGAGTGGCTTTGCTGGGAACTCCCCTTCAAGGATATCCAGGGCAGGAGTTTGTCTTGGCGATGCCTGTGCTTCGCTGGCCTCAATTGAATTACTGATTTATGATGTAAATTGCTTTAAGTAATTAAAATTGAATTAATGGCTTAGCTGCCTGCTATGGCTAAGTAGTTGGGCCATTAACAGGGAACAGATCCCATTCTACGTATCTATCTGTCGCTTCCTCACTTCCCTTCGCTGAATTTGTATGTAATGGTCGTTTTACGAGACGCAGCTCAAAATACGATGTGTGTGCCAACTTTACGAGCATCTTTCAGCGGAGCATTAAAGTGACAGAGTCATGTGTTGATGCCTCGACTAACGCTGCCGCCCACAAGTGCCATGTAGATTTAGTCAGTGGATTTATTGCCCGTCGGTAACTCCACTAAGCGTCACACAAAACTCTGATGCTGATGCTGCTGCTGCTGCAGCGCAAACAGCCTGACAGACAGAACATCTACAGGATAATCAATGTCGGGCGCACACACACGCATCAACATGTCAAAGTTGATTGCAGCATTCACACAGATACAGAAAAGAGCACGGGGGACAAATTTACCAGTGGCCAAATGTGCAACTGACATCTGTGGAGCATCAACAGACATAGGACGTGCCTACTTCCCCCACTGCCCCTGCCACTGCAACTTCTGCTACAACACGAACCTACTTCCCCGGCCCCGATCGCACAGTTCCTTGGGCACAGTTCACTTGTACAGAACCCTATGTGGTACCCGGCCCCTTGTCCCCCTGCCGTGCAGAACGTGCGTGCCACAGTGCCACAACGGAAACGCGCAGCGGAAATAATAACAGGAAATGTTGCCAACTAAATTTTTAACACACAGCACAACTTCACCATCAGGCTTGACTAATTGTGCGCGACATGCTTGGCATTCCCGACGAGTCCTTAGGGCAAATAGAGTCGCATTCAAATTGTTTTTGATTGATTGCAGTTGGTCCAAAGTTGAAAGAGAAATCAGACCGAATCTGGATAAGCACGTTCCGAGTTCCTTAAGCTAGAACTCTTGTTAACGCCTGAAAGTAGTGCCTTGGCCACCTCAATCCCTGTTGAATCACTCACCAATAGCAGCAGTTTGTTGGGTTCTTGTAACCATGAATTACAGTTTGTTCGTTGCTGTTCCCTTATGGCCATGTTGTTGTCGTGCCGGCTGTGGTTGATATTGGGCATGGGCCTGGGCCTGTACTTGACAACCGCTAGCCAAAGCCGATGTCGAGGCTGGTCTCGCTGCCGCTGCCGATGCCGCTGCTCCAGCTGATCCGTTCTCGTCTCGTGGGCCACGGCACCCGCACGCTGTCTCCATCCAGAACAGCGAATTTGTGTGGCACACCGTCCCGGTGGGTCAATGTCAATACGCACGCCCCCAAATAGTCAAGTCAGACGGTGTGGAGCTCTCCAATATCGTCGGCTTGTGCAATGTTTACTCTTTTGTTTACACGATTCGTGGTTTACATATCAAATATGTATATGTCGTGAATATATATGCTCCGGAATTCTGACGGAATTTTCCAAATAAGCTGAAAATAGAGAGAGGGCCAGTGAAAAAGAGTGGAGTTAAGGGCTGGCAAATATAGATTGTAAATAGATTGTAAGGCTGTCAAATTGTTCCTAACAACGTGGCGTATACTCAATTTTTCATTCATTTCCACCATGTGGGAGTGTGTGTCAATTGCTTTGCTGTCAGCTGCTCGTAACAAGAGAGTTGTCAGTAAATTTACTCTGGAGATGTCACGTTGAGGAAACTTACTTGGCCCCAAAAACCTATGGAACATAAAATATTGAATTGTCAGCAACAATACAGAGAACTCGAGGGTTTTCGGGGGAAAGGGAGAGCAGATACTTTGTTAAGCGACTCCTAGATGACAATCAATAAATCCAATTGTTTTTCTCTTCCATTTTTCAGCTGTGAGATGACAAAAGCCATCAGAATTTACTAATTGCCTGCCCGGAAAGTTTCTGCAGTGACTGAACAGATTGTGTAGGTAGGTAGCCCCAAAGTTTTGCATTCGATGGAAAAGTTATGCGGAGAATAAATAAACAAGTTCCAGGGGGAAAACTGACAAATAACTCGATTTTGATTGAGTATCGCAGTGGCAGTGGCTGTGGCTGTGGCAGTGGCAGCAGTAGCAGCAGGGGCAGTTTTTCTTTGCATTGAAAATGCATTTAAAAGTTTGTCAAACCTTAAAGAATTTTCCATTCTCCTTTCGCTGATGAAAGGCTCACTGCAGCATGGGCCCTTCCTTCCAATTTATTCCCCTTTTATTTGCCCTTCGCTCATTTCACGGCCTGTCACTCCTCCAGGCAGCTTGACATCGGCTTCCCCAGCTGGGTTGGGACAGGAACCGAAAATGAAATGTCAAACTGCGTGGCCACAACTGTGGTGAGATGAGAAATTGCATTTTCACACGTAATTTGCATTTGCTGGCACCTTTTACTTTTCCATTTCCATTCCAAGTCTCTGCACACACAGACACACAGGCAGACAGACACCGTACTACATATAGCAGTGGATGAATCGATAGGTAATCAATGTTTAATAACTTGAGCGTGTCCCTTGACCGTGGCCTAAAGCGGGGACCAGACTGGCTGTCAACGCGGTAAACATTGAATAAGTCATAGGCACGACGACCCAGTCGGAAAGGTCCTAACGCGTTCACGCATTTATAATGGGAATATTATAATGAGGCCACGTGCCTCAAAATATCCAAAATCATCCTCGTCAGGCGCCACTTATGTACCGAATATGAATATAGATCCCGCACAGTCCGAATGCGTCATTTAAATTTTTGGCGCGTTCTGCCCCTAAGAAGGTCAAATCATTGTCAGGGCCTGCCTGCCTGCCCTTGCCTTCACCCGAAATCGGCTAATAACCATAATTTGTATTTAATGACATTCAGAATTCGTTGCCTGTAGGCCTGGCTAATTCTTATTCATTTAGAAAGCCATCAGCCATCAGCCATCAGCCACTCCCAGGACAATCTAGAGTGGACACCTATTAATAAATATATGCATATTTGCCTTATGGCTGTCCGGCACGGTATACATATGTACGTAGCATTGATTCATTTTGCCTGTGAGCTGTGCCCGCTCTCTCTCCATCTCCATCTCCATATCTATCCATGTCCTAAAGCTACTACATCAAATAGCACAAATATATGTATAAATATTTGAGAAGCATTTGCATAATAATGCTCTTGCTGGCTACGCATTAACGAACACTTGTGTCTGCCATTGTGACATAATGCACTCTGCCAAGAGAACATCGTCCTCATAGTGCACTGGTCTCATTTATATATGCTAAATTAAATTAACTCAAAGGCTCCAGGGCTGAAACAGCGACTGCGACTGTAACTGGGTCTGTCACTGTGGCTGGGAAACTGCAGAGGGATGTCATGTCATGTGCAGCCATTTTCCTCTTTAGTCGGAAATGAGCGACTTCCAGCAAATTAGATGGATATACCCGTAACTGTGCGCTGCATACACAATTCGCTGCCCCGGCAAATGATGGCGGCTCCACCTAATTAGATGTGTGTGTCGAATACGCCGGAAAAGTTTCTCATTTCTTGGTACTACGAACCACGGGGCAAACAGACATCATGTCTGGCTTTAATTCATGACTGCTTATGCAAGTCAAAAGGATTGTGCGGCTTAGGTAAATAATGAGGGATTGTGCGAGGAAAATACAATGCAATTAATGTGAATTTCATTAAAGAAATTTCCGACGATAAAAATATGAATTTATTTGGGCAAGAGACCCACGAAAAGACCCAAAGTTAACAATAGATTCCAGGAATAAATTTCAGTTATATTTTTTCTTAACAGCACTTTCCAAAAATAAATCACTTGAAGAGCCATTAAATATGAATTTAATATTTCTCGACCCCAAATATTAGCCCAAGCTAAAATTCTATAAATTATTTAGCCCGTTCAAAGGTAGCCCCTGAATGGCTATAAAGGAATTCAGCCGGAGAGCCTCATCCCCGGAAAGACAGTTGCCACAGAAACAAAAACTATATATACATAAGTATACCTCTATACGTCATCAACGAGGTGGCCAAGTGGGTTGTGTTGTTAACAAGTCCAAATCACTCGACTGCAAAGAAATCGGGATTGAGATTCAGGGCCACTTAAGTGTCATTACATTTACATCCGCTCCGCTCCCTTCGCCTTACTCGCCTTTCGCACTCTTCACATTCATTTGTGTACTTGTTTGTGTTTGTTTTTCCTCCTTTTTTTTCATTTCATTTTCATCGTGTTGTTGCTGCTAAGGTAAACCCGTGCAGCTAGGAAAAACACCTGTACCCGGGTGGCTCGCTCCCAGTTGTTTACAGTATGAATAGTTTATGATGGTTAAATATCATTATTGTTAATCTTGATGAACAAATGTACTCGTACTCGTATATAAATCCCAATTAATGGTAGCCAAAATGGGATAATTAATTGACTTTGTGATTCAAAATTTACAGATTGCCTTTTATAGAGAATTAATTTTTGTATTTAAGAGGAAATTTTTGGAGACGAGAACGGCAAGTTGACTGAATATGTAAATAGAATTTACATTTGACTGTGTAAATGGTTGACAACTTCTTCATTAAAGGCTGTTTGAAAGTTATTTCTTTCGGGCCGTGTGTCAGTCCAGTTCTTCTACGATCGCATGGAGACGAGACCCTTACGTTAAGGGTTCATTCAGCCTAGAACTACTTTAACTGTGCGTATGTGTGTGTGTTTAATGGCTTTTATGCTCATTCCTGTTCTAAATGTACACAAATACCCACACATAAACACACCCAGAGAAGACAGAGTGAGATGGAAATATAGAGAGAGAGAGAGAGAGAGTGAAAGAGCTTGGGCTCGTTCCTATGGCCTTCTCCCAGAACTAACAAAAGAATTTATGTGCCATGCTCAACAAAATATAAAAATTTACACTAAACACCCAACCATAACCAACCCTTTTCACTATGCACACACACACACACTGGCAGGCGTTGTCTTGTCTTTGGCTTTACATAGAAAATTGACTGTGAAAACGCTTTGGGCACTTTTCCCCATTCTGTTCGCACACACAGCCGCTTTTCCTTTCATGCTACTGTCTCTGTCTCTATCTCTGTCTCTATCTCTGTCTATGTCCGTGTCGTATTATGTTTTGTTCTATGTTTTTTTTTAAGTTTTTCAGAATTTGTGTTTGTTTTTTTTGCTGTTTTTTGTGGCGAAATAATTTGTGTTTAGATTTGGTGCTGTCGTAAAAAGTGCTGCAAAAATGTTTTCCATTTTTAAATTTCGGGGAAAAGTTGTTGAAAGAATGAATGAATGAATGGTTTTCGCATTCCGACACGGCTGATCAATTAACTAATGAATGTCGCTATAATGAATGCATGAATAACCTCAAGCCACCATTCATTCACTGCTCGACTGTTGCACAGATTTGCTCTGGTTCTGGTTCTGGCTCTGAGTTTGGTTTTGGTTTTGGCTTTTAGCCACACGCACGTATCGGGCCACAGGCCCAGATGCTTCCCAGAAAGGCAAACGGCAAATTAGATTAATTACAGTCGCACACACACACTCACACACATACTGCCACACAACCAGGAAACGAAACGAATTCGATTTTCAATTCATTCGATTCCCATTGTCAACACGGGGCAGGGAGGGCAAAAGTTCACTGATGACAAATTTAACATCGCATCGCATCCAACTGGATGCTGATTCTGGCAACAGAGACAAGCGGGGCACACAATCCCGACATTTGACTTCGAAAATAGACTAAACGCAACACAAAACATTTGCAAACCTGCCAAATGGATGAGTTGTGCTGCCAATTCAGGCTGCCAATCAAAATGACAAAACAATTGAAATCAAATCCATAAATTGCTTTTCTTTTACATATCCGTCGGATATACCTACAAATGTACTTGTGTGTGTTTTTTTTTCGTGTGTTTATTTTGCATTCGATGCAAATGCATATTTTTTATCGTCTGATAGAATGCAATTTCATCGTTTGCCTGGGTGTGGCCAGGGACGGGGACGGGGACGGGTACGGGGACAGGTCGCAGGCATCCCAAACATGGCTCGTGTCTGGCAATTCGCTTGAATATCGGATGACTCTTGCTCTCTGTTGGCCTGGAAGAGGCAATAAAAATTGCAAAAACGGCAACGGGCAAGGCAAATGAAATGGAATTACTTGTGTAGGTGAGCAATTAATTCAAAAGTGTCTGGCAAAGAAAGTTTCAGTCATTAATTAGCATTTCCATATACACTCTCGCACACTCACTCACAGAGAGGGAGAAAGACACTTGTGCAGGCGAAACGGTATACGTAGAATGGTATACGGACAAGTGCTGGGAGAGTTCATGGCTTCAGTTCATTGGGCACGTTTCGGCCAGAAGGAAGAGCGGGACAGGGCAAAGTTGAGCAGGACCCAGAGTAAAGCTCATTTCCGTTTTATATTTAAACACTTGGGGGCTAAAATGTTTGCTCTACTATTGCCACGCAGTGCAAAATCATCATAAAAGGCAAGAAATGAAAAAATAAATATCCCCAGCCTAGACCCCAGTCCGCAGTCCCCAGTCCCCAGAGTGGCCCCAGAGTGGTCTCCCCCGGTCGATGGACCATGGAGGTGGGAAACGCTTAGCAAGTGGATTTTTAAATTAGTTTGTCGACTCCTCGCCTCGTTTGGTATCCGACTTCTGCAGATAAAAGCCAAGGCGACTGACTGCAGACTTCTCGAGACGGCAACGTCCTTTTTGGCAAATGGAGTCCGTTCACTTCGCCTTTGGCTCTGACATTCTGGTGCTTATTTAAATGAATTAGGTGATTTTTCAAGAGCTAAGCTCGCCACGAGCAGTGGAACTCATTTCCGTTCCAGTTGCCACTGGCTCTTGGCCGTTGTCCGTTGTCCGTTGCCCGTTGGTCGTTGTCCGATGGTCGTTGTCTCCTCATGCTTCATTTGGCATCCACTTTGTGGCTGCATCGGAATGAGCTGTTAATTTGCAGGCCACTGCGTGTCAATCAAAACTTTTACGAGATATTTCTATGGAAAATTTCATTGCCCCTCACCCGCGTAAGCAGTGAAAGAAAATCATCATCCAAAGGTATACAAAAATAAAAAATAAATCTGGCGTAGCTATAAAAGTGCTCGACAAGTGCCAAATACATTGAGCAGACATAGCACCCAGGGAGACCTCTTTGCGAGACGAGACTTTCGGAGGCAACTTTTCTGCTCACGCGTCGTATACGCAATGAAGTTTTCGCTCCTTTGTTTCCGGGCGCCCTTTGTCTGTTTTGCTACATGAGCACACTTGCGCATATGAGTGCCGCTCGTGGAAGCGGGTCGTAAGGTGACAACTTTGAAATAAGGCTGCAAAGCGGCAAAGTGGCACGAAATCGAGGCGAAAAGAGCCCAGCGGAGGGCTCCTCCGCCAGGCACACATTGAAAAGAAAAACGAGAGCGACACTGAAAGTAAAAGTGAAAGGGTTGCGTTGCGTTGCGTTGCTCCTGTTCAGAACATTACCCGCCAGGGTGCCCCCAACCCATTTTATTGCTGGGTTATTGTTATTTAATGCCAAGTTTAATGCCAACACACTCCGAGCAGCAACAGCAAACACCTAAAACAATTTCATTCCCGCCCCATTAATATATTTCAACTGGTTTGTTTCGTTTCGATGTACGTGTGGGTTTGCTTACCCCACTCTCTCCCTGCCCTCCTGCCGGCCTGGCACTCACTGCCTCGCCCAGTGGCAAGACTGCTTTGGGTGTTTGCTTTGGGTGTTGCACAATTCTATGCTGACGCTCTTTTGTGTTCGCCTGGGCGAAAGAATCTCAGGTTTCGGTGGCTTATGCACGTAGGCTGCCTCGCCTTTGTTGTTTCTGTTTTCTGCTTTCTTTTAAACTAGGAAGCAATTTGAATGCCTTCACAGAGGGCTGCACATAACACAAAATTATGTTAGAGTTACTCAAGGCGATTCGTTTATGGGAAATTTAACGTAGATGCCCAGGGGAAAATATAGAAAGCAGAGGTTTCATGGGTATACTTAAAGTTTCCACATCAATAGAGGAAACTCTTGTGAATCAGTTTTGGATTGAGTTCTGGTTAATTTATGTCGAAAAATCGTGACTTTAGGCGCAGCTTGAGCGTTGGAGTGTCTCCAAATTAAAGCACAGCGCTTGGATCATTCCTAATTTAAATTTTAATAAATTAGAAAAAACCCCCAGTTCACCTCTCGGTCGGTGAAGATTGAAATTCCATTCTGTTCAACTGCCAACCCATCTGTCCGTTTTATTGGATATTCCTTTTGGTCCGGGCTCTGGGCCGTGCCGGGCCGGGCCTTTGTGTGGCCTGTCAAAACAACTTCCATTGTTTGCCCCCATTTCACCTGTCAGCGGCTCATTGTGTCTGTTAAGCTTCACACTCGGGATAACAAAAGGAAGAAGGACGAATCTGTTGCCGGGATGAGTGGCGGGACAGCCGGTCACACTTTGGTTTCCATTGTCAACAGGGCAGCCAATTTAGTTAATTAGGCCACTGAAAGTGTATAAACACAGTCTCTAACCAAACCGGACGGGCACGTGCTGCGGCTCTGGCTCTGGCTTTAGACAGAAAAACCCGCATAAATGCACAAAACACTTGACAATTGTATTTTGTATTTTTCGTTTTTCTTTGTAATTTGTGTGCCACACGACTCCCCCCGACCCAGTCCCCTGCCCTCGTCTGCTAATTACGTTGCGAGCCTCATGGCTGATTGATATGGGTTTGTAATTAACTGAGTCTGTGGATAGCCCGTTCCGTTTGGGCACTTAAACTGATTTCTAATAGTCTCGCCTATCCAGCCAAAAACTCCATCCACAACCGCATCCGATTCGATCCGCCGTTCCACGCATTTACATAGCTAAACGGCGCCAGCGGCAGCAACAACAACAGCAACCAACCATCAACTGTGGCAAGAAAAGAGTGCTGTACGCTGCTGTACCCGATGCTCTGAATATGGAACCCCAAAACTCATTGAAATATTCAGCCAATATTTATCCAATTCGCAATTTTTCCGGCTCAAGGGTTAAGTTTAAGCTGCTTTAATTTTAAGACTTACAAAAAAATAAATTCATTTACGGAGAAAAACATAAAAAAAATCTTCTTTTCGCCTGTGCACAGACATCTTCACAAAAACATTACACCCTTGCATGCCCACTACCCAGTAATTGTAAATGCATGTATTTACATGCAAACACACATAGGAGGATGTACTTATGTAGGTGCGTTTAGCTAGGAGAGACTCACCTGCATAAATCATCGCGATTTGGATGGCGATTGTGAATGGGGCTCTCTGGGCGAGATTAGCGACACGGCCGTCACCGAATTGATTTAAAAATCGGTCAAGTTTTTGTGGCCGCTGCCTCTAACTCTGCCGGCACTGCCGCTCTGTTTGCTGTTTGTTGATGCACTTGGGAGGCGTTAACCGGCTCGACAGTTGCGCCTAACTTTTTGTGGGCTTCTCGACTTGTTGCCTCGAGCTGTGTGAGTTCGCTCCGGCGCTCCGGCTCTCCCGTTCTCACTGCTGGCTGCCTGCCTGCCTGCCGCACTCTTTTGCCAATTAATTGGTTGTCAGGCGTTGAATAATTGCACGCATTTTGACTAAATTCGCCATGTTCTATTCCACATTCTGTGCTCACAAAATTAATAGTTTGTTTGCGCTAGAATTTGATGGAAATATGTTTTATTTGTTGAGCAAGATTGTGGCCAACAAAACAATTATTTGCTGTCAGCCCCAGACAACCAGAAACAGCTCGACAGCGAACGAAATACTCGTAGTTTGATCTCTGGCTGGCCTGGCTGACATCATGTTTGGGTGCATCTATAAACAGATATGTTTATTTCAGCATATGGACACTCTGACAGCGGCACAATTATGAAAATTTCCGTTTGTCAATGCTGTTTGTTCTATGACAGCAAATGAAATTGTTTGCTAATGAGGGAAATTACGAAACTAAATGAAACAAGGGAAAACAATTTGCAAACAAGGAACAGAACCGAACCGAACTAAACAGAACTGAACAGAACAAGCGGCACGGCGCTGCACTGAAGAAACACACAATAAAATCACATAAAAGGCATTCACACTCGTTTCACACTCGCGAATGCATAATAAATGCACTCACACACTTGTCTCGCTTTTTGCGAATATTATAATAGCATTTAATTGTTGTTGGTTTTTGGGCTCTTGCCTTGTTTTCTTTTTTTTTATTTTTGTTTTATTCTTTTTTTTTTGTTTTCTGTCGAAAGCACGTAGCTGCATTGAGCGTCAGTTTCAAATGTCAGCAGCAGCAGCAGCAGCAACTGTCGTTTATCACCCACATCACACCAAATACGAGTATGCGGAATATTCTACAATACTTATTGGATGGGTAATCCGTTTGAGCTCTGAGCTGGGAGTCGACAGTCGACCGGAACTGAAAGTGCAATCGGAAAATGGTGGAAACTTCTTCAGTTGCTACTGCTACTGCTGTTTGCTTCTGTCTGCGATCACGACCATTCATAACGACCGACCTACGAGCACAGCGCACTTCACTTCGGCTACACACAAACACCCACACAGACGCAGAGGCGTCCACTCACGTGGGCGGACTGAAAGGTACCGTTATGCTCATCCGACGCCGTCGGCAAATGTCGGCCTGGAAAAGAACTGTTCGTGCGCCTTGGCACAACCGACGCGGCAGAATTTTCACAACTGAATGCCAGAATGCGAGACAGCGCCAACAGTTGGCCCCCACGGTGGATGCCTGTGTACGTGAGAAATGGAACGCAATGGAAATGGAACAAAGAACACGAAAATATAGCACGATAGAACGAACACGAATCTACGCCATAGGCCAAAGCAGCAACAGACAGTCGCTTGCTTGATGAGTTGTTTTGCGTAATTCCGAGGCAGAAATCGCATGCGATATGCTCGCATTCCCTGGTAGAACTGATTAATTATAAGCTTTTGATTCCCTTAATCTGCATTCGCCTGCAGCCAGAGGCCTGCCGACTCGAGTCAGAAAATTTCCTTTGATTTGTGTCGTTTTTGGCTTGTTAACCTTTCGGTCCGGCGAGGCGGAGAGACAGACCAGAATAAAGAAACCACGCATAATAAATTGGCAAATTCGAAGTCAAAAGAGGGACGGCATAAAAAGGACACACTCCTACACACAGCCAGCCAGCCAGCCAGACAGACAGTCAGTCAGACAGAGAGAGAGTCAGCCTGCCCCTTTTTGATGGCCCATCGGGCGGATGGCGATGGTCCGTCCTTATTCTGATTATCCCATTCGTTGATTTTTCTTGCAATTTCATTTTATGACAAAGTTGCTCGAGTTCAATTTGGCGAATTTTCCCTCGATTCTCCATCGACTTCAGAGTCCCACTTCAGCCAATTTTCCATTAGTCGGGCAATGCGTTGATTGCTTTTACCCAGTTTTCTGTTCTTTTTCTTTTTTAAGTTTTTGGCTTGCGACTGGCAGAGAAGCAGCAGAAGCCGCCGCCGCAGCAGCAGCAGCAGCAGCAGCAGCAAAAGGATAAGCCAATATGTACTCGATTGCCATGTCATTATGAACATCTATAGAAATTGGTGCCGCTGGTGCGCTGATTAAGAGAATTTGCCATGCAGGAGCCGTTCCAGCCATTACTCACTTGATTTTGGCTCGTTTTAGCCCTCTTTCATCTCTCTGCTGACCCGAAGGTTTGTTTTGGCCAGAATTCTAATAATGATAAATGAAACGAAAACGCCTCGGGACACACCCACACCGACACACACAGCCACACTCTAACCCTGCATGTGTATCCGCTGCACGAGGCGTTCATCTCTAATTAGGATAAACAGATGTTGCCGAAAATTAATTACACATCACGAGCCGAGCACATGAAAAGCTCCTCCAACTCGCCAAGCCTCCAACGACCAACGACCAACCCACCACGCTTTCCCCTTCCCCTCATTAACTGTCAGTGGCATGCCGTTACGGCTTCTAATCAGAATGACCACCAGCAGCTGATGGTCATGATGGAATGGCAATGATGCTCATCTTTTTGGTTACCCTCTGCATTTACATTTACATTTACATTTATGTAAGTACGAGGAGTACTCGTATCTGACTGCTGCCAAACCCCATCCCCGGGCGGCAATAAATCTCAGCTGCCTGCGAAATAAGATACTTTGGCTGCCATTGTCTTGCAGCAAGTTTCACGTAGATTTGCATTCCTAACCAGGTAAATCCACTTGGGCGACAGCGGGGAGCGAGAGTCGCTGATTGTCTCCTCCCTCCCTACTAGCTTCTAGCTGTCACCGGGGTCCTGCCAAGGTGGCTTGAAATGTGTAAAAGTGCAATTCTGCATATTTTGCCCTTCACTGTGAAGTGGCTGCGGTCCTTGCTCTGCTCTGCTTTAAATTCCACCTTCTACGTGGAAGGGCTAGCTACACTGTCTAGTGAAAAGTGAGTGGGACCCTGCGGTTTTGTGGGAGCTTCTGTGATTATTTGTATATCTCCTTTTCCCACAGTTGGTGGCAGATTTTCCTGGAATTCCTGTTCGGGTTTCGAACCTTCAGTTTCATTCTCCCTAAATCGGATTTAAAGAATTGCTTTCGTCTGTTCGTGTGTGTGTGTGTGTGTGTGTGTGTGTGTGTGTGGCTGACCGGGCACAGAATACGATTTGATGATGCCAAATCAATTTGCGGGCACAATCGAACAAAAGAATCTGCCCGATGTGCTTCAATCTTAAAGTTGAGTTCTCATTTGAGTGCCCAAAATTAAGCCCTCCCTACCCGGGCTCCCGGCTCCCGGCTCACGGCTCACGGCTCCCTGCTGTCAGTCAAAGGCAAACACCTGTAATAAATATTCGTTTGTCGTCTTTCGTTTTGGGCTCTGGCTCCGCTTGGTTATCCAGGATTTCTTGCTGGCGCTGTCACAGATACATTTTGTCTGCTTTTCCGTGTGAGCGCACAAGACAGCAGCGGCCGTGCCAGCGACAGCGAAAGCAGGAGCAGGAAGACGCAGCCGCCAGGAAGGAAAAGAATGCCTAGCTGGCACAATTTTATACATTTCAGTGAAGCTTTTTTGCCGCCTTGCTGCCTTGCTGCCTTGCTGCTTTCCTGCCCAAGCCCCTGTGCATGCCCGCCCCCCCTGCCCAGCGCCGTCGCCGTCGACACAGTTTTCATGCGGGCAGTGAGAAGGGCCATAAAGAAAAGCACTTAGAGAGATGCGAAGAGGCGGAGAGTAGTGCAGGCGCAGGCCCACGCACTTGATTCCTGAACCACCACCCAGTGGGACGGGTTCAGTGGCCACTTTTGGATCCCCTACCATCCCGCTCCAGTAGCAATTCATTCAGCCATTTATGGCTGCACAAGTTGCGTTTCCACGCGGCTATAAATTTACGGCACGCAGCTTCAGCGACTTCCCGAGCAGCTGCTGCTGCTGCTGCATTCGGCCGGGCTCTTAATTTAGCACGGAACCCGCAAGGATGCAGCTGCCCCGTTGGAGTACACTCCGCACCAAGTGTTACACTTTGCGCCCAGCTGAGCGCTCAGCGTGTGTTATTAATTGCGTTATATGTGTATTAATACACAAGTGGAGGCACACGTGGTGGCACCTGCTGTAGGCTGGGTTCCATGGTCCAAGGATGCTCACATTGCCTCCGGTGCTTTAGCTCAGCCACACCCCATTGAAGCCACATCTAGCTTATGTTCGCTCATTGCTTATTCAGGCAATCAGAAGATGTTTGCCCTGCTCTCCCATGCCCATGTAATCAAATTAAATCTCAACTGCATCAACAGTGCCGGTAACTGTTTGACTTACAATTGAAGTGCCTCCGTCTGCACCCCTGCTACACTCTGTGGCTTATGCTTATAGTATAAGGCCCTGGAAGACGGAGGTATAAATCAGTTTTTATATGTCAGTGCTGGCTGCTCGTCCTTCCCGGCTGCTGTTGCTGCTGCTGCTGCTGTAATTGCACACGGAGAAACATATAATGGCCAACACGAGCGGGTTCCCACTTACCCAGACTGTGTGTGGAGGAGCGCGCTTTCAAGCAATTCAATTATAATTACCAGCGCCTTATTAGCGCCATTAAAGTGAAGCCACAACCCCAACCATTGCACTGCAGTCTTTCCTCCACGTGCTCGTCTGGCTTCTTGCCTTTTTTCAGGCGGTTCATTGCACGTTGCCAGACACGCTGTCACGATGGCAGTTGAGATGCATACATACATACATACAGACAGGTTGACAGGACAAAGAATCAATCAAGTAAATATGAGTACGGTATTCCAACCAAAGAGATCGACTAACAAATTGTCATTGCTACACTCCGATCTGTTCTATCAGTTATCGAAAATCAGATTATGCGGCTTGCATACTGCAGAACGTAATCAAAGTCAATGCATAAATCGAATGCATAAACAGGTAGGCAGCAGCCAAATAAAACCAAGTCCCAATGAAGATTTCCAATATTGCGCATACGCCACGTGCGGCTCGGGCTCCGGCTCCGAGCTGCATGCGTGATTCAAACCAGAAAGGGCCACAGCCAGACCCAGACATATGGCAGGGTATGAGTGCTGCACGGACACGGAACCTGCCCTGCACTACCGATGGCAGATCAATGATTACAATACTAAGTTGAGCTCCAAGCAGGCAACAGC